GTATATCATATATATGTTATATTATCATATTGTTAATATATTGAATACGAAATCTTATTTGTTCGATGTGAAATGATTTTCTAGCTTGGGATGGGGAGTGCTTTGGAGACCCTGTGTGGACAAGCATTTGGTGCTGGACAAATTCACATGCTTGGGATCTACATGCAACGCTCATGGATAATCTTATTCGTAACCTGCTTCTTACTCATGCCGCCGATTCTGAAGTGGCTAGGCCAAGAAGACGACATAGCGAATGAAGCCGGAAAGTATACCCTCCAAATAATCCCCCAATTATTCTAACTTTCCATAACTTTCCTTCCCAGCTCAGAAGTTCCTCCAGGCTCAGAGGAATGTGAAGGTGCTGGCACGGATTGCAGTCTTGGCCCCGGTCATGCACATTGGAATGCTAGCGCTCTTCATGTATGTGTTTGATTGCGGCGCATTGGAGGCAGTTGTGTCATTTAACCTCACAAGATGGGGGATTGTAATTGCACAGGTTGCGTATATTACGGGTTGGTGCAAAGAGGGTTGGACTGGATTTTCATGGCTTGCATTCAATGAGATTTGGGCATTTGTCAGACTTTCTCTTGCCTCAGCTGTCATGCTATGCTTGGAAATTTGGTACTTGATGAGTCTTCTCATTCTCACAAGCAGTCTTTCTGATGCAGTTATAGCCGTTGGTTCCCTTTCTATTTGGTAATTAACCATCTTAGTTTTTGCCCCCATTACCCTTCCTATTACACACCGGGAACGATACTCTAATGATATTCTAAGTCAATAATATAATATGGTGTAGAAAAATTTAAACATATGACAATAAGTTATTAGTTTGGAATTAATACCGCTACAATGATGTATCCAATGTAAGTAATTTCCCTTTTTCATGGTCCATGAGCCTTTGATTTCTAATAGCATTTTCCCCCTTTCGGGTTTCCTTTAGCATGAACATCAACGGGTGGGAAGGAATGTTGTTCGTTGGATTAAATGCTGCAATAAGGTGAAACATTGGATTAGCAGTTCTCTGGTATGCAATTCTCTCTTACTATTTTGGATTATTTATAACATCTTTATTGTCTTATGTATTGTTCGTGTTTCTAATGAGCTTGGATCAAGATGCCCTAGAGCAGCCAAATATGTTGTTTATGTGACAGTATTTCAATATCTCTTAATTGGGATTCTTTTCATGATTATTATTTTAATAACCAAAGATGATATTACCTTACTTTTCACAAGTGACAAGGAGCTGCGACAAGCGGTCACTAAGCTTGCATGTTCTTGGTATAACTATGGTGCTCAAGAGTGTCCAACCAATAATATCATGTATCTATTTAACAAATCACTATGTGTTTGCATGTTATACTTAATATATATAACAAAGAACAAATGTTGTGTGCTCAAAATCTATGTTGTGTGTGATTGCGCAAGCATAATATATATGATGCCATGTTTTTGTTCTTCAAGGTGTTGCAATTGGAGGTGGATGGCAGGGAATGGTAGCTTATATAAACTTTGGTTGCTACTACCTTTTTGAACTTCTTCTTGGATACGTTCTTTGCCATGTTGCAAATTTGGGAGTCATGGTAAATATATTATTTCTTTACTTTGAATGATGCCAGGTTAATTCCAATTTTAATTGATGAGTTATGTGATTAACATTGTAGGGACTGAGGATGATATGTGGAATTACTCTCCAAACCATACTTCTGCTAATCATACTTTACAAAACTAATTGGAACAAAGAGGTAATTAATTAGTGCTTTATTTTAAATCTCTTCAACTTTGGTTACTTCATTTCATTGCTAGTTCATATGAGATTTGAAAAAAACTTAATTACATGTAAAAAGAAACAGGTTTTACTTGTAATTTTGTTTCCTCTGTTCAAATTGCAGGTGGAGCAAGCAACAAATAGTGTCCGGAAGTGGGAAGGGAAATATATCAAAACTGTGAATGGAGCTGAAAGTACTTGAAATTCCCTTTTCTTTTTTATGGGGTATATTAAATTCTTTGCTCCATTTAATGATGCAACTATTTTGATGAGGAGAAAACATGTGAAAGAGGAAGGTTTAGTCGGCGGCAAGAATTAGGTGTGATTCCGCCGGCGACGGGGTGTGGAGTGAAGGAGTTGGGTATTTATTGGGGTTGCATGTGTTGTTCGTCGAGTGTAGTTGGTCAAAGCAGTTTTGCATGACAAAATGGTCATCGGACTTTCTATTGAGCAAAATATCATTGTTCAGCGGTTTTTAATTTTTGACAATAAACCTTTGAGTGACTACTTTTGCTCGACAAAATTACTTTGTGTTGCAAGGGGTTTTTTTGGTAGTGTGTGAGTATATGTTTTGTTTATGTTATCCTTTCTACTTTGAGTTTTATGTACGCCCTTAATTGGTAAAAAGGTTATCATGCCTAGGTTTTGCATCTAGTATTTATGCTTCCTATTTCTACTCATAAGAAAAATTACGAGAAATTTTGGAGTGCCATATATTATAGACATAGAACGTCATATTAATAAATCACACGTGTAAGATGAGTTATCAATCAAATCTCATTTGTACCGTCATGGTTTCAATAAAAAAAAATGTGTAAGATGAGTGAATACTGATACCACATACGGAGTGACAACCAACACCAACAAACTTCTCCATAATTACAAATAAGCACAAATCATAAAAACGGTATTGTCACCTCAATACAATTATCACATCCTTCTTTTTTAATACATAATGACTATTTTAAAGTATTAATAAGGGTTCACATATTATTCACTAAATAACAAGGCTCATCACATATAAACCCTACAACTTTTCACTTATAGAACATGGTGCCTTAATCTTAATTGCTTTCCATCCTAATTTTTTTTTTAGTACATCGATATTTTTACACTAAGGGGATGGGGAGTTTGGCAAAGGCATACAATTGGCAGCCTAATTTAGTATTGAATTCGCCATCCACGAGATTCGAATCTAAGACCTCTCACTTTTAAGTGAAGAGGAATACTTATGAAGTGATATTATACTATATATTTTACCCTATTCTTAGTATTAATTTATTGGTTATTTTGGTAGAAATTTGATACTTTATTATATATTTTCAATGTAGGACATTCGATTTCCTTTGGAGCAAAAAGTAACCAAACGGATGAATTTTGGAGTAATTCCAATTGGAGGATGTTTGTGAGTCTTTCAAGATGATTGTATCAAAATTCTAGATTTTTCTACCAAGCCGTTTGACTGTGGCGATGAAATAAAGACTCAGTGCACAACTTTTCTAGATTGACGTTTCTAGACGTTTTGGGTATTTTGAAGGTCAAGATGGCATATTTTGAGGAAAATTCATTCTGAGGATTTGTAGGGGACGTCTCCAACTTTCAAAAGAGACCTTTTGGGACCAAATGAGTTTATTTGGTCAGTCAAAAGTTTGAATTTCTGTGAACTCCAAATTGTAGTTTAAATAGGAAACCTTTTATTTTCTGTTTTATAATTTAATTATGTTTCCTAGTTTATTTTAAGACTTTTTCAAGGTAGGGTTTTATTTTATAGTAGTATAAATAAGACTTTTTAGCCATTAGAAGGAGGAGGGGGGGGGGAACACACGCATCAATACTTTGCTAGGTTTTGAAGATTCAAGTTTATTTTCAAGGTGTTTTCTATCCATATTTTTAATAAATTCCTTTTGTTTTATGGTTGTTTGTAACTAATTTACGTTTGCTAGAACGATGCCTTGAGCCTTAGCATGAATATGTAGTTTTTATTTAATTGCTTATGATATTATGCATGTATACTTTGAATTTTTAATCACTGTACTTTAAATAGTCTCTATATCTTAATGCTTAGCTACCATTAGGATGTTTAGATAAGTAATCGGATGCAATTCGGTCGGAATACCACTGGGGAATTGAGTATTGCTTCTTGTGATTAATAGTTGTAGTTTCACCTAGGATGAATACCACGTCTTAGGGGTTGCATGGTTTTTCAAAGGGTTTTCACAAAGTGTAATGAGTCATGCATGTTTATTTTTGATCTGAACACCACAGACAAATTGCATGTTTGATATACGTTCTAGCTTGAATACCACGAGTAGAATATGCATTAGGAAAACCTAACATTCAAAGTTGCATGGGTAATTCATTAAGTATTGATAAATTTACATAGGATTGTTGAGGAAACGGCGGAACCCTAGGCTTTTACAATTTGTTTTGCAAAACTATTTTCTTTTGTTTTCTTTACTTTGTCAATTTATTTAATTGTTTTTAATTAAATTCGTTTTTAATATTTTAGGTCATTAAATCAACCTCTTTTAAACTTTGTTTTCAAACATTTAATTAAGAATTAGTTTAAATACAAATTATTCATTCAATCCCTGCGGAAAACGACCTTACTTGAGCCATTTATACTACAACTACCTTGTAGTATTTTTAAGTGTTTTTATTCCTACTTTTGCAGAAGGTAAAATCTCTATCAAATACCATGAGACTGTACATGAGATTGTAGTACTAAGTGGCTACTTTCCATCCTAATTAGGGCCATTAGTTAGTGATGTTCAAATGATTATTGCCGTCCAAGTAAACCGTTCCCCGTTAGGTTTATGAGTTATTATTGTATCTTTCTTGTGAATGTACTCTTGTATTCTAAGTTAACTATACTTGTACACCAAGTCAGACGTGTATGTATTTTCACCTTTTCCATCAATGAAATCTAAGTTGTATAATTTCTACAATAGTTCGATCATGAATCCATGGTCCATGCGTTGAGAAAATCAACGATTTTTCTACGATACTTTCCCTTGTTACCCTTTAATCAACCTTAATAAGGGCGAGAATCATGGATTACTTGCTTATTTTGTACCAATCAGATATATTATAGAGATTCTTGTATTAATAATACAATCAGATTAATACAGTTGAAGTAAATTTCACAATTTCCAAATCTATATATTTAAGACCGTGTGTGTGTGACTCCTGAACACAGCGAAAACTCTCAAACTTTAATCTTACACTTAACCTAATGGAGGAGCAGGAGCCGCCGCTTCACACAGCTGCTGCCGGCGCCACTGAGTTGAGCAATAAACCTCCTCTTTATGTAGGCGGGAACGAAGACTATGCGCAGGTGAAGAGCTTTGATGCGCTCCGAAGTATGTTTTGGATAGAGACGGTGAAGTTGTGGCAAATGGCCGGTTCGGCAGTGATCACCATCATATGTATGTACGGGACTAACGCAGTCATCCTGCTCTTTGCCGGTCATCTAGGAACTATCCAGCTCTCCGCTATCTCTATTTCTTTAGCCGTGATTTCCACATTCACTGATGGACTGATGGTATTTAATCTTGTTCCCCGTAATTCCTCTTCTCTCATGCACGCAAAGTTACTTGACATGTTATGTTGTTAAATTTTCGTAGAACTATTGCCCTAATAATTATGTAGATTTATGTTATATATGGTACGACTTTATATACGTCAAGATAGTACTATACTGTATATTTGGCAAGAACATATTGACGCATTGAAACGTCCCAATGCCGAAAATCTAACAACGAAATTAGTACTATACTGTATATATGTGATATTATTGAAATTGTCCTAATAACCCTACATAGTATATGTTATATGTTGCCAAATTATCAATGGTTAAATACAAAATCTTTTTTGTACGAAATGAACTTTTAGCTTGGGATGGCGAGTGCTCTAGAGACCTTGTGTGGACAAGCATTTGGCGCTGGACAAGTTCATATGCTTGGGATTTACCTGCAACGATCCTGGATAATCCTATTTGTAACCACCCTCTTCATTTTGCCGATTTACATCTTCGCGGCACCAATTTTAAAGTTGCTAGGCCAAGAAGACGACATAGCGAATCTAGCAGGAAAATTCACACTCCAAATAATCCCCCAATTGTTCTCACTTGCCATAAATTTCCCAGCTCAGAAGTTCCTCCAGGCTCAGAGGAAGGTGAAGATGCTGGCATGGATTGCAATGTTGGCCCTGGTCATACACATTGGAATGATAGCGCTCTTCATGTATGTGTTTAATTGGGGCACATTGGGGGCAGCTGTGTCATTTAACATCACAAGATGGGCGATTGCAATTGCACAGGTTGTGTATATTATGGGTTGGTGCAAAGAGGGTTGGACTGGATTTTCATGGATGGCATTGAATGAGATGTGGGCGTTTGTGAGACTTTCTCTTGCGTCTGCGGCCATGCTCTGCCTTGAGATTTGGTACATGATGAGTATACTCATTCTCACAGGCCGTCTTCCTAACGCAGTTATAGCTCTTGGTTCCCTTTCTATTTGGTAAGTAATATCCTTTTTATAAATAGATGTTACTTGGTAATAATGCACTGTTGTCTGTAAAAGTTAATATACGTGACAATGCTCATATATGGCAGGTAAGTTATCCTTTTTATGTTACATGATAGATTTTGATTTCTAATAGCATTCTTTCTCTTTTGTGTCTCCACAGCATGAACATCAACGGGTGGGAGGCAATGTTGTTTGTTGGAATCTATATTGCAATAAGGTAATGCATTAGACTAGTAGGTCTCTGATATTTATTTTGCACTTCTCATTGATTATTGTAGTGTTTATAATATCTTTATTTTTTTATGCAGTGTTCGTGTTTCCAATGAGCTTGGGTCAGGACGTCCTAGGGCAACAAAATACTCTATTTATGTGACAGTACTTCAGTCTCTCCTAATTGGAATTCTTTTCATGACTATTATTTTGATAACTAAAGATGACTTCGCCATGATTTTCACAAGTGACAAGGAGTTGCAACAAGCGGTTTCTAAGTTGGCATATCTTCTTGGTATAACTATGGTGCTCAACAGTGTCCAACTAGTAATCTCAGGTATCAATTTTACGTCCATGGCATTATGCATGTCATATATATACATAATAACAAAAATCGAACATGCACATCAAATCGATAATAGATGTGTATTCGTACGTGCGCACGCGAGCATATTTTAATCCCATGTTGACTTGCTTGTTCTTGAAGGTGTTGCAGTTGGATGTGGATGGCAAACAATGGTTGCCTACATAAACTTGGGTTGTTACTACATTTTTGGTCTTCCTTTTGGATACCTTCTTTGCCATGTTGCAAACTGGGGAGTCAAGGTAATTAAATGGTTTTTTTCCTTTCAACAAGCCTATATATATAAAGTGTTTGTGATGAGCTATGCGACTCATGTTGCAGGGATTCTGGGTGGGCATGATATGTGGAACTGTTCTTCAAACCCTACTTCTGCTAATTATACTTTACAAAACCAACTGGAACAAAGAGGTAATCCATAGTTTGTTTCAAAACTTCAACTTCGGTTTTTGCATTTCATTGTTTGTTCATATCAAAACCAAATCGCAGGTGGAGCAAGCATCAACGCGCGTCCGGAAGTGGGGCGGGCAAGGCATCAAAACTGAGAATGGAACTGAAAGTATAGAGGATTAGGTAAATAAGTTCATCAGTGTTAGTTTAAAGGATTAGGTAAATTAGTGCTTATAAGCCTCAATTCCGAAGGGGAAGAGACCATCATATTCCCATAATTCCGTTCCATGTATTGAATACAAATTATCCTTACTAATTTGAGATTTCATGCAAGCTCTTAACTTGTAAAATGGTAATGTCAAGAATCCAATATTCATTAGCATGCCAAATATTGTTGCATTACGTATTTAGGCTTAGTTTGGTAAGTTGTGCTTATAAGAAAATCACCTTCTGCTAGTTAAGTTTTGAATTTAAAAAAAAAAAAAACACTTGGAAAGGTTTCAAGATAAACAATCGATCGGTTAGTTGGTTACCAAATAAAATAGACAAAATTCCGATCTAAAGAAAAAGGAATTGTTTATTGACACTATAAAATAGTCATGTTGTACTTCTCTGTAATGTAAACAATAGAAATGTAAACTGTGCACGCTAATTATTTCGAGAATAATGTTAGGTAAACTAAATTTGTAAACTAAATGATTTGTCACTAATAAAAAATAAGTCATTAATTAACATCTAAGTAACAATCTAATCATCAACTTCTATATTATTTAGTTTATAAGATTTATTCTACAAATTTAATTTATCTAACATTACCTTTATCTCGAAATGTCAACAACAAAAAAATAATAAAATAAATATAATAAAAAGGGGGAAAGTATGTTCGTTGTTATAATAATAATAATAATAATAAAAGACAGATACCTCAATGGATTATTTATATAAATTAGATATTTAGGGGTCTAAAGAAAAACCAAGCACAACGATTGTATAATGCTTGGTTGTTGTAAGGATCTAGACGGAAGGCACACAGGGACAATACACAGGGACAATAAATGGACAGACTTATGATTGTAGGACCTGCTAAACAAAAAGGTACCAGTTTGAGTACTCTTTCAAATTCAGACCACACACTAGATTTTGTACTAATGCAGCTCAATGCTAATGCCATGGAATCCAACTGATTACTTTGCTTTAAACACACGGACCCAAAAAATAGAAAAAGTGCTTTTAAGCAGTGAGGATTGTACTGCTTATATAGCTGGAGGAGGAAGGACTCGATTGGCTGTTTCCTCCCAATCTTGTCTTTCTTAGTACCTGTTGATTAGTTGCGGACGTGATCGTTGTCCTGTTGGCCATGGCTAAAGCCGTATCACCCGAGTTAAACAGTTTATGGGAGTGTATTCAAATTGAGAATTTGAGAGATTTTAATGGATTTATAAATTCATGGATTTTTATGGAGTTTAATTGATTTGTAGAGATTCCATATAAAATTTTGATTCAATTCCCTCGAAATCTCATTGAAGAGATGAGATTTGCGGATACTTAAAATACACTACGAAATCTCTCAAATTCCTTCAAATTCCTCAACTTTCTTAAATTCTTTAAAATCAATTTCTAATTGAATACACCTGGAATGTTATAAATTTCTTTAAAATCCTAATTGAATCGGATTTATAAGGATTTTAATAAACTATTTTAAAAAATTTATTAAATAGACATTGAATTTCAGATAATCACTTAAAATCTTGATTGAATACTTCTAAATTTATTAAAAGAATTAAAATCCTTAAAAATCACAGTTAAATACACCCCCTCATATTAGTTTAAAATAGAAAACCGGTGGTCACAAATATTGAAACAAAAATCACGCGAGAGCATAATACCACAACTCCGATTATAACTTGCTGGAGCCAAAGAATCAGTCAGTAGCAGTAACCCTTCTGAATATCTCAAATGGAAACGCCATTGCTGACAATCAAAGCAGAGGCGGCAGCAGCTGCTGATTATGCTCCAGTGAGGAGCTTTGGGGAGGCCATGAAGGTCTCCTGGAAAGAGGCGGTGAAGCTCTGGAGGGTTGCAACTCTGGTGGCCTGCACTTCTCTGTTTCAGTACCTGGTTCAGTCCATAACCACCGTTTTCGTCGGTCATCTTGGAGATGTCGAGCTCTCTGCCGTCTCCCTTTCCCTCGGTGTCATTTGCAACATCCCTTTTGGTTTCCTGGTAACCACATTACACAGATTAAGCCGTATATAAACCTTTTACTGTCAGTTTGGTGTCGGTCTGTTATGTTTTCGATTAAAAGTTTGTAATCGGTTCTATTGCTGCGTATTTACCTTGTTTCTGTATAGTATATATCTCTGGAATTTGGTAATGGTGTAATATTTTTATAAGTACTTCTACTCATAAAACATTTTATTGTAAGTACTGTAAGTAGTAACACCACGAAATGTTTATTAAAAATTCCAACTGTGCTTCTTGGAAAAGCATTTTCAAGTGCTTTCTAAAAAAACACCTTCAAAGAGTGCTTGTATGACTCATAAATACTTATGTCAAATATAATCAGAAGCATTACATTGCCAGAAGGCAAGCCCACATTCTAATAACTGTTGTACATATTATATATGTAGCTAGGTATGGCAACTGCATTGGGAACCCTTTGTGGGCAAGCATATGGAGCAGGCCAAGTAGGGCAGCTAGGAATCTATATGCAGCGCTCATGGATTGTGTTATTCATCGCCTGTATCATCCTTTCGCCAGTTTTTATTTTCGCCGCTCCGATCCTAAAATTTTTAGGCCAGGAACATGGCATAGCTGATCCTGCTGGAGTATACAGTCTAAAGATAATCCCTCAAATGTTCTCCTATGCCATCAATTTGCCCACTCAGAGGTTCCTCCAGGCCCAGAGCAAGGTGCTCGTGATCACGTTGATTGCATTCGCGGCTCTAATCATACAAACCGGGTTGCTTCATCTCTTCATCAATGTGTTTGGCTTGGGAACAACTGGTGCGGCTGTAGCTTATGACATCACAAACTGGGGAGTTGCAATTGGTCAAGTTGGTTATGTTATGGTCTGCTGCAAAGAGGAGTGGACTGGATTTTCATGGTTGGCGTTTCGAGAGATTTGGGATTTTGCTAAGCTGTCACTTGCCTCTTGTATGATGGTTTGCCTAGATTTATGGTATTCGATGAGTATAAGCATTCTTGCCGGTCTGCTTCCAAATGCAGTCATTTCTGTTGGTTCCTTTTCTATATGGTAAGATTATTACAATTTCTACTAAGCTGCGGATAGAATCCTTTGCAGACAATTTATTATAATCCCTTGAAAACGACTTAAATAAGTGACGAGGTGGTGCTTATTGCTTCATTTTTCTTTTTCTTTCAGCATGAATTTTCAGAATTGGGAAATTATGTTGTTGCTTGGAATAAGTGCTGCTGTAAGGTAAATACTTCTGTTATTTTATGTGTCAAGTAATGTGCTATTCCATTTTTCTGGTGTTGCTAAGTAGTATAACATTGTTAATGGTCTGCCATCTGCACATAGCACACGAGTCTCGAACGAACTTGGAAAGGGGCGTCCAAGAGCAGCCAAATACTCCGTCTGTGTTGCAGTCTTGCTAGCTCTCGTCATTGGGTCTTTAGCCATGGTTGCTATCTTCGTAAGCAGAGACTACTTTGCCATGATTTTCACCAGCAGTGGAGATATGCAACTCGCCGTTTCTCGTTTAGTTTACCTTCTTGGTGTAACGATGCTTCTTACCAGTGCTACACAAGTATTAACAGGTATTAATTGCTTCAATAAGTTTTAACCTTCCAATTAGTATCCCTAATGAGCTCATCAGTCTCCTTATTTAACTTAGTTTGTAGCCCTAATTGGTGATCAATTTTTTTGTAGGAGTTGCTATTGGAGGTGGATGGCAAGTGATGGTGGCTTATATAAATTTTGGTAGTTATTATTTGGTTGGGCTCCCATTAGCAATCTTTCTTGGCTTCAAAGCAGATCTGGGAGCTGTGGTAATAAACAATCCTACCCCTATCTATTAATTTTCATTTCAGTTTAATTACTTTAATCTTTCGTTTTTAGTGAATCGAGATTTTATGTGATGCATAGGGACTTTGGGGTGGGATGATGAGTGGAAACGCTCTTCAGATCTTCTTCTTGCTGATTCTGACTTGTAGAACCAACTGGGACAGAGAGGTAATCATCAGTATATAGCGATATTCTCTTCTACTCTACTCTAATTTACCTGCAACGGCGGTTAAAGACAGATGGAGAGGTTATTTTCATAATCTTTTCAATGAAGGACATGAAAGGAGTGCTTCTTTAGGGGAGTTGAGTAACTCAGAAGAGTGTAGAAACTACTCCTTTTATCGTCGAATCCGGAAGGAAGAAGTGGTTGTAGCTTTGAAGAAGATGAAGCATAGAAAAGCAATAGGCCCAGACGATATACCAATCGAAGTGTGGAAAGTTTTGGGAGAGACAGGTATAACATGGCTCACTGACCTTTTCAATAGGATTTTGAAAACGAAGAAGATGCCAAATGAGTGGCGAACGAGCACTTTGGTGCCTATCTACAAGAATAAGGGCGACGTACAAAATTGCATGAACTATAGGGGTATTAAGCTAATGAGTCATACAATGAAGCTCTGGGAGAGAGTCATTGAGCATAGATTGAGGCAAGAGACACGGGTTTCGGACAACCAATTCGGGTTCATGCCAGGGCGCTCAACCATGGAGGCAATCTATCTCTTACGAAGATTGATGGAAAGATATAGAGATGGGAAAAAGGATTTACACATGGTCTTTATAGATTTGGAAAAAGCGTATGATAGGGTCCCAAGAGACATTCTTTGGAGGATTTTAGAGAAGAAAGGAGTACGAGTAGCATATATCCAAGCTATAAAGGATATGTATGAAGGAGCAAAGACTGCCGTAAGAACTCATGAAGGACAAACCGAAAGCTTTCCCATAACTGTAGGATTACATCAAGGCTCATCCTTAAGTCCTTACCTTTTTGCGTTGGTAATGGATGAGTTAACAGGACATATTCAAGATGATATTCCTTGGTGTATGCTTTTCGCAGACGATATAGTGTTGATAGATGAAACTCAGGAAGGGGTAAATGCAAAGCTTAACCTTTGGAGAGAAGTGTTGGAATCTAAAGGTCTTCGCCTAAGCCGATCAAAGACAGAATATATGGAGTGCAAGTTCAGTGCAAATGGAGGCCAAAACGAGTTAGGGGTGAGGATCGGAGATCAAGAAATACCAAAGAGCGACCGTTTTCGTTACCTAGGATCTATCTTGCAAAAGAACGGAGAATTAGATGGAGATCTCAACCATAGAATACAAGCTGGATGGATGAAGTGGAAGAGTGCATCCGGCGTGTTGTGTGACCGCCGTATGCCACTGAAGCTCAAGGGAAAATTTTATAGGACGGCAATAAGGCCGGCGATGCTGTATGGCACAGAATGTTGGGCGGTGAAACATCAACACGTACACAAAATGGGTGTAGCAGAGAGATGAGGATGCTTCGTTGGATGTGTGGGCACACGAGAAAGGATAAGATTAGGAATGAGGATATCCGGGGTAAAGTAGGAGTAGCCGAAATTGAAGGAAAGATGAGAGAAAATCGGTTACGGTGGTTTGGACATGTGCAAAGAAGGCCTACTGACGCTCCGATTAGAAGATGCGACTATGGGACAGAGGTTCAGGGCCGAAGGGGTAGAGGAAGACCTAGGAAAACTTTGGAAGAGACTCTAAGAAAAGACTTAGAGTACTTGGATCTAACGAAGGACATGACACAGGATCGAGCACAATGGCGTTCTAAGATTCATATATAGCCGATCCCACTCAGTGACTTGGATTTTCCAAGTCTCCAACCAAGAAGTTTTCCTCACTCGGGAAATTAAGGGAATACTACCCCAACCTACATGCTCCACTCAGAAAGCTTCAACATACAAGCTTCAACAAAAGAAAATTCAAAGAACTTAGCGAAGAAGGCTTTGGTGTATTTAACACAATACGTTGAAATGAAGGAAAGCTTATTTATTGATATCCCCGATAAGCTACAAATATGTACATATACATGAGTCAAAATAAACACACAAGAGGGAGCCTTCACAAAGGTTGCTTAGGAGAAGTCTCAGCAGTCGGTAGAGCCCCAGAAAGAGAAGGCACCGGAGGGGGATCATTTGGAGCCTCAGTACTGGACAGAACCCTAGGAGGATGAGGCATCAGAGGTTGATCATTTGGAGCTTCATTACGCGGTACAGCCCCAGAAGACGAAGGCAATAAATGCCTTTTGGAACAAACCCACAAATCTCTGATGATCAAGTAAAACCTGACCATCAGTTTCCTTCATCTGGTCAAGCTTCCTCTTCATGTTTGTAGCATAGTCATGTGCGAGCCGGTGTGCAACTGTTTATTCTCATGCTTGAGCCCTCTAATCTCCTGTTTGAGACTCATCACTTCAGCCGCCAATGATTCAACTTGGCGGGTTCGAGCAAATAGGCGTTGGGCCATATTAGACACAGAACCTGCACACTGAACACTGAGAGCCAGCGAATCCTTAACAGCTAACTCATCAGACCGTTTGGAAAGTAGTCTGTTATCTTTGGGAGTGAGAAGGTTCCTGGCCACCACCGCAGCGGTCATATCATTCTTCATCACGGAATCCCCAACAGGTAAGAGGACCAGTTGGGGAGACGAAGGATGGGCGCCATATGTTGTCTGGAGAAGGCGGGGCTGCCTCTTCAACAAGGTTCAAGTCAAAACGACGGTCGGAGGGGCCAGACATTTTCAAAGGTGTTGAAGAGAGAAGAGGTCGGACAAATCAAGATCTTAGAAGTGCAAGAATGAAGCTTCTACTGGTGGAGATTCAAGTGTGCTTTGGAACTTAATGCCAGCCCTATAAAAATCTGCACTCGACGGAGCTTCAGAAATCAAAGAGGCGCCTGCTCAGAAATCGAAGAGGCGTTTGCTTTCTCAAAAGTTGGGCTGCTTAGAGATCACGAGGGTTGATCTCAGAAATCGAAGAGCCGTTTGCTTTCTCAAAAGTTGGGCTGCTCAAAGACCACGAAGGCCGATCTCAGAAATCGAAGAGGCGCTCGCTTTCTCAAAAGCTGGGCTCCCTAGAGACCACGAGGGCCGATCTCAGAAATCGAAGAGGCACCTACTTTTCCAGCCTTGTCAGCACCTGTCACACGCACACTCAGCTTTGCGGAAATTATGGGCATTCTGTCAAAGACTTCTGGGGAAGTAGAAAACACATGAATCTTACTGTTCAATCACCCACTTCCCACACGCAACAATAGCTCATGGGTACCACAGATAACTTTGCCAAAGTTCTCTGCCAAAGTTGAGCACGTGAAGCTTGCAGCTCCCACTACATCGCTCTGACCAAGAAGGGTAAAAGAATAGCAAAGAAACAGCACTAACAAAGTTTAGACCCATAAATTTTGAAGGTCTAGCTACCATATTATTACCCACAAGGGTAAAGGAACAGTACCACTGCTGGATAATTGGAAAGTCCATGTATGTCAACCTCTGTGCTTCGTGGCAAGGTAGACTAGCAAACATGCCCAACCTTTACTCACATTCGAGAAAAACACTCCCAATAAGATTGCTTGCTCCAAAATCGAAGAGGCACCGTCCTCCGAATCTAAAGAGCCAGACTCCTAACATGACTACTTTCTTAAAAATCGAAGAGAGGGTAAAGGAACAGTACCATTGCTGGATAATTGGAAAGTCCCTGTGTGTCAACCTCTGTGCTTCGTGGCAAGGTAGACTAGCAAACATGCCCAACCTTTACTCACATTCGAGAAAACACTCCCAACAAGATTGCTTGCTCCAAAATCGAAGAGGCACCACCCTCCGAATCTCGAGAGCCACTCTCCCAACATGATTACTTTCTCAAAAAATCGAAGAGACACTGCTCCCCGAATCTTCGAGAGCCAGACCCCCAGCATGATTGCTTTCTCTCAAAAATCGGTGAGGCACCGTTCTCCGAATCAATCGAAGAGGCGCTCGCTTTCTCAAAAGCTGGGCTGCTCAGAGACCACGAGGGCCGATCTCAGAAATCGAAGAGGCACCTACTTTTCTAGCCTTGTCAGCACCTGTCACACGCACACTCAGCTTTGCAGAAATTATGGGCATTTTGTCGAAGACTTCTGGTGAAGTAGAAAGCACATGAATCTTACTGTTCAATCACCCACTTCCCACACGCAACAATAACTCATGGGTACCACAGATCAACTTTGCCAAAGTTCTCTGCCAAAGTTGAGCACGTGAAGCTTGCAGCTCCCACTACATCGCTCTGACCAAGAAAGGTAAAAGAATAGCAAAGAAACAGCACTAACAAAAGTTTAGACACATAAATTTTGAAGGTCTAGCTACCATATTATTACCCACAAGGGTAAAGGAACAGTACCACTGCTGGATAATTGGAAAGTCCCTGTGTGTCAACCTCTGTGCTTCGTGGCAAGGTAGACTAGCAAACATGCCCAACCTTTACTCACATTCGAGAAAACACAGTCCCAACAAGATTGCTTGCTCCAAAATCGAAGAGGCACCGTCTTCCGAATCTCGAGAGCCAGACTCCCAACATGACTACTTTCTCAAAATCGAAGAGAGGGTAAAGGAACAGTACCATTGCTGGATAATTGGAAAGTCCCTGTGTGTCAACCTTTGTGCTTCGTGGCAAGGTAGACTAGCAAACATGTCCAACCTTTACTCACATTCGAGACAACACTCCCAACAAGATTGCTTGCTCCAAAATCGAAGAGGCATCGCCTTCCGAATCTCGAGAGCCAGACTCCCAACATGATTACTTCCTCAAAAATCGAAGAGACACTGCTCTCCGAATCTCGAGAGTCAGACCCCCAGCATGATTGCTTTCTCAAAAATCGAAGAGGCATCGTTCTCCGAATCTCGAGAGCCAGATACCACAGACCACTTTTTCAAAGTGCTCTGACAGAGTTAAAACATGTGAAACTGGCAGCTCCCACTACCGTGCTATGACCAAGCAGGGTAAAGGAATAGCATTACTACTTGTTGTTAGGGAGACTCCTATATATGTCGACCTCCATCCCCAACGGACAGGCAGACCTGCAAAAATGCTCAACCCTTCATCATATCTGAGAGGGCACTCCCAACAAAGCCTTTCGAAATATTCAGCTTTCTTTCCCCCCGATAATACCTCTGCAAACAAGCTATACTAGAGCAAGAATATCTCATATCATCAGGGTTAAAAAGCAAGAGTATCCCATATCATGCTTTTTCCCTGTTTTTTCTTTTGGCCTTGTTTTTACCTGCAAGACAAGGAGAAAGAGAGCAATCAGTCAGTACTTGGAATCAAGCTTCCAGCCAGGAACTGACCGCCTGGAATCCCTTACCTGATTACCTACCTGGCATTGCTCTCGAGTACTCATCTTCATCATCTTATGTTTCCAGGGAAGATTCCGCATCTGCTTGAGGAACAGATAGGGCAAGTGCGAAGGATACAAGGAAGCATGTGGAGACAAGCGTAACAGCACACGTGCCGATACATCCATTACTCTGTCAAAAGCAAAAGTATCCCATATCAGCAGGGTGGAACGTACTCTAGATTTGATGGACTTGTTTTGACCCTCAAATTCTTCAGTCGGCCTTATACTCTGGAGGAAACCAGAAAAACCCTCCAGCTCAGTTCAAGAATAAGCCTGTGGAAAGTTACTTCTTCAAAAGCAAAAGTATCTCATATCATCTCTTCTCATTTTTCTTCTCTTTATCCTTCATGCTGCTGCAAGATGGGGAGAAGGTGAACAATCAGTCGGAGCTCTGATTGCTTACCTTGTCTGTCACCTCTTTCAGCAGACCCCCTAGCTCGGCGACTTGGGGGACTCCTACTACATGGTTTGTATCGCGCTTGACCAAGCCTGAAACTACAAGTAAGCTTCAAGTGAAATTGATACATTACCTTGTGCATCTCCACCAGTTAAAGATACCACCCCTGGATGGAGGAAGAGTACTTCCAGAGAAGATGCCACATCTACCTATGAGACAGATAAGGCAAGTCAAGACGACACCACACTCCGATACTTAGAAGTTTCGTGATTACGAGATCATTATCCCACAATATTTCCTAATGTCATTTGTACTAAATCATTCACTCTGTACTCACTAAAGGAGAGCTTGAACCTATGTACTTGTGTAAACCCTTCACAATTAATGAGAACTCTTCTATTCCGTGGGCGTAGCCAATCTGGGTGAACCACGTACATCTTGTGTTTGCTTTCCTATCTCTATCCATTTATATATACTTATCCACACTAATGACCGGAGCAATCTAGCGAAGATCACAAAAAAGCGACCGTTTTCGTTACCTAGGATCTATCTTGCAAGAGAACGGAGAATTAGATGGAGATCTCAACCATAGAATACGAGCTGGATGGAAAGAGTGCATCCGGCGTGTTGTGTGACCGTCGTAGGCCACTGAAGCTCAAGGGAAAATTTTATAGGACGGCAATAAGGCCAGCGATGTTGTATGGCAGAGAATGTTGGGTGGTGAAGCATCAACACGTACACAAAAAATGGGTGTAGCGGAGATGAGGATGCTTCGTGGGATGTGTGGGCACACGAGAAAGGATAAGATTGGGAATGAGGATATCCGAGGTAAAGTAGGAGTAGCCGAAATTGTAGGAAAGATGAGAGAAAATCGGCCCTGGTGATTTGGACATGTGCAAAGAAGGCCGACTGACGCTCCGGTTCGAAGATGTGACTACGGGACAGAGGTTCAGGGCCGAAGGGGTAGAGGAAGACCTAGGAAAACTTTGGAAGAGACTCTAAGAAAAGACTTAGAGTACTTGGATCTAACGGAGGGCATGACACAAAACCGAGCGCAATGGCGTTCTAGGATTCATATAGCCAACCCCACTTAGTGGGAAAAGGCTTTGTTGTTGTTGTTGTTGTTGTTGTGGATACAAACCAGAGTGCAACGAGACTAACACACTACCCTAACCGACTAAAATAATTCGGATTCGTGATTGAAATTCTTGTTTATAATGCAGGTGGAGCAAACAACAAAGCGCATAAAGAAGTGGAGAAGCAAAGAAACAATAACTGACGAGATATGTAGCTGATAAATATATCATGAAATTAGAGAAAACTCATGCATTTGTATCTGTCTATTTGGGTAATGTGAGGCTTTATGTGCCAATGTTTTATGTACTTCCGCAACATTGAATTCTTATTGTCGTCAAAGTTGAGGCGTTCTGTCTCCGCTACTCAATCATCTATTCCGACCAAAAAGAACGAAAAGGTCACAATGAGACGGCCAACAGGTTCCGAGCTGATGGGATCTTCTTCTCCATTTCTCAAACTCAATCCTTTTTCTCTAGGTTACAAGTTTATCGTTTATCCGACTCCTCCGCTTACATTGACCACAACTCGTTCACCTTGAAGACCTTATGCGGTTACCAATACAACGAGAAACTATCAACTTTCCCACAGTAACAAAATCTTGTTGCATCATGTTTCCGCCTCGTACTAGCAAGGATATTGTGTAGGTTTTGCTCTGGTTTTAAGCTTTTTGAGTTTTTGGTAACATTCTAGAGGCGGTTTAACGAGCCACTACTAATCAAATTTATAACTTAGTTGCATCTACATAACAATGGGTGTGAGATCTTAACCAAAAAGCTTCAATATAATTAGCAGTTGAACTAATCCTTAGATCTTCTAACACCTGTTGCCCCCTAATCACAACAATATTACAACCCATGTATGCGCCTGAATTGAATTTGTGTAGGGTTTCTGGCTCGAGGATGAGAAAATAACATATGTAGGGTGATTTTCAGAGTTCTATTTTATCATTTTATTCTTAGCAGTAAGCAGTTTATAGTTTTAGTAGTTCATTTTATCTACTCGTAAATTTGAAGTGATGATGTTCGATTTCCTCCTAAAGAAAAGTTACTGATGCTTTTTGTTCTTCGCACGTAGGACGTTGTAATAACAATATTCCTAATTTTTAATAAAAAAAAACCATCCATTTATTTGTTTTGTGGAATAAAATCGTCCATTAATATTAGCCTTCAGGGACAAGAATTCTCAAGTTGTTCAGCTCAAAACTTTAAAACAACGTTTCTGATGATCAAAGACGTAAGCAACTTGTAGATTGCTATGGTGCATGTAAATTTTCTCTTCAATTCGCTGTGCTTCAAATTCAAACAATTCTTCTCTCTTAATATAGAGTAAAATACATCATAATATCGTTTGCAATAAAAGTAAATATGAAAAAGTGGAAGAACAAATAATATCTTCTGTCCATAGGCATTTTCATTCTTTTTCCGAAAGAATGAGTCGCTGCCATAGGAGAAAATCAGAAGATTGTTGGGATAAGCAAGTCTCAAACTTGTGACTCGCTAAAATATGTAAACCATTTCAACGACTAGACTATATACTCTTTATTGTACAAACTAGCGCACAATATACAGAAGCGGGTGAAATTCAGGATGAGTCATATGGCCTATTGTGGCCTCCATATGGCTCCGCCGATGTTCAAATTCATAAGGAACGGTTAAGCTTATCTATCAGTTAAAATACTCTATATTTTGATGTAAAGACCATATTAGAAACTGAAATTCAAACACAAATATAATTATAAAAGATAACGTCCTGGATAAGATCAAGCAGAATTTCATCCCACACTATCGCACCACCAACTTCGCTAAACAATTTCGACCTAAAAAAAAACTTTGCTAAACAATGGATTGGTGTAATTGATACAAATTAATTAATAAGTGAAGAAATTTGATGTTCTACCATAAAATTAATAAATAATACAAAGAGTAGCCTAATTAGTTATAGGCACATACAATTTCTTTCTTTTTTGTGATGTAGGATTCACTCTTGATAATAAGGAATGATTAAGAATTAAAACTAGCATCTAGCAACATATATCCATTTTTTTTCCTTGGCTTTTTAGTTAAAATGGTCTTTGAAATTGACATAACTCATCATTGAGATTTAAAATCGAAGAAGTAATCCCGAGATATCCATCGTCAACCATTTTGATTTTTTCGTGAAAAGTCTACCTTAAATTGAGAGTATTTTTTTCAAATCAATCATTCTACTTAAACTGGTGGTTTCTTTAATATAATAGATTTAATATAATAGAAATTTTTCATAAAATGACCAAAATAATTGACGTGGACAATTTCATGCATTACTTCTATTGATTTTAAATTTCAGAAATCAAAATGAGTAGTTACGTCAATCAAGAATCATGTTGACTAAAAAACTTTTTTCCCCCTTTATAGGCAAGTAGTATTTTATGAATATATATATATATATATATATATATATATATATATATGTATATGTATATATTATAGAGTCATCGACGTACGTTGATCGTGTCATGTATATAATTTTTCTAGAGGAGACATTAGTGGACAATGAAGCACCGATGACTTATGACATGATAAGGAGACTTGACCAAGCATTAGGTAGCTAATTAATTTGATTAAATTTCCTCTTTATTTTATGAGGAAATGTTGCATGAATGGATTTCTCAACTTGAATTTTACGCCGAAAAAAGACTCACTTTTACTTTACACACATTCTTATTCATTTTTTATGTGCTTGATGTAGATGTAAATTTTCGCCGTCCTTCTCATTTGACAAAAATGTACTTGCAAAATAATAACATTTAAGATTAAGGCCAAAAGCCTCACACGCCCACGATCCTACGATCCCATGATGAATAGGGGGCTTTGGCCGAAGAATCTCCAATGCTCAAATTTAGAATTTTGAAAAGAATGTGTTTAAGAGTTTATGGGTAGTAAATGACTCAGCTTTTTAGAGGAATAATAAGGCTATTTATCGAAGAGTGGCCGGCCCTATTTGGAGAATAGTGGCCAGCCATATATGGTGTAATTAGGTGAATAATTGCCAGATATTATGTGAAATAATATCTTGCAATTAATCCTAATTTAAATAGAAAATTTGAGAGTTACATTTTGAATAAGGATTTGATGAGGAATGATGAAAGGGATTTGAATAAATATCATTTTCATCACCTTTGACTCTTCCTTGATTGAGTCATTATTGTCCGTTGCATGCACGTGGAAATCCCGATGTGTCTCAAGGGTAATTTTGTTATTTTCACACAAAAATCCACGTGTCACCTCCATAATTTTCTTAATTATTTTTTGCTGCACACTTGACACGTTGTTATTTTTCAATTTATTTAAGTTACATATCATTTTTAGTTAATATAATTTCAATTCTAAATTTATTTTTTAGTTACTGGATAATTGTATGTATCCTTATCTGGTGGTTATTTATCAATTTGTTGACAGTAATCCAAATATCATACTTGTAATTTTGTAAAGATAACAAGAAGTGAAATTCCAACGAGATTCTCTGAGAATGAGACTCTTCAAGTCTCCTTGAACTCTTTGTCACAAAGGAAGTTTGTTTTGAAAAGTAAAAGCAAAGCAATATGAAGAGCATGCAGCAAAGCAATATAAGTAACGCAGAAACCCCAACACTTTGCATTTCCATTTTCCACTACCAAACCTAAACCAAACCAAACACCCAAAGCCACCATCTTCTCCGGTAGGCAGCGACCTCCAGTTTCGTCGGGTCCGTACACGTGTCCCTGCAACAACTACAGACTCAAATGGTGACGCCAGTGCCACTGCTTCACGCAGTGAACGGCGGCGAGTTCCATGACTACGAGCCGGTGAGGAACTTCAGGGATGCCCGGTCGGTGGCGTGGAATGAAACCAAGAAGCTGTGGAAAATTGCTGGGCCCATCGCCTTCACTATCATCTGCAACTTTGGCAACAACACAGCTACCACCATGTTTGTCGGCCATCTCGGAAACCTCCAGCTCTCCGCCGTTTCCATCTCTCTCTCCGTCATCTGCACCTTCTCATTCGGCTTCATGGTAATTTCCTTTCATAATTTTCAGCTTTCATTTACATTTCATTAGTTTTAAAATGCGGTATTCGATTTTAAATGATTTAATTTACGGGAAGGGACATTCAAATTCAGACGTAGGATTCCGATACGGAATCAGACTAACTCGCGTCTGCATTCATTGTTTCGCATTTCAAAACATGGAAGTCGCGTCTTTTTATGTGTTTAAAGCATGGTTTAAAATATGAGTGAAAATATCAATACGTAAATTTCTGAAAATATCGTTGGATACATATTAATATTAGTTGCATTCGAAGGAAATTATGAAAATATATAATGAGATGAGTGTATCAACTCATTTAAATTTAGTCGAAATTAGAGAGAAATTTCTTATAAAAATTCAAAAGTTTGCAAATTTTTTGTGATGAATCGGTAAATATTGGTAAATATTGGTAAATACTCATTGTTTTTCCTATATCCTTCTAATATAAGTGAACTTAGATCCTTAATTTTTCACAATTTCATGGATATTTTAAACACTTGCTTAAAGTATAGATCTTTATTCAAAAATTATATATATATATATATATATATATATATTTTCACATTTATATTTGTAGTGTTTCTGATTCAGATTTCTAACTTTGCGTTTTTTTGTGTTTAATTTTACTTTGTATTTTTTGCTTTTATATTCTTTTGCATTGCTTTTCTTCTTTTCTTAAGTGTTAGGTACCACTGCTCAAAGTTATTTAATATATATATATATATATATATATTACCAAATATCTATATATATTTTATCGGTGTATCTTGTTTAAATTTGGATATTTCATACTTTGTTTCTTTTATATTCTTCTGCATTGCTTTTCTTCTTTTCTAAGTGTTAGGTACCACTGCTCAAAGTTATTCAGATATATCTATATATATTTTTTATTTTTTTACCAAATATCTATATATATTTTATCAGTGTTTCTTGTTTAAATTTGGATATTTCATACTTTGTTTCATACTTGAGAAAATCTAGGAAAAGATGAAAATTGTGTGCGTGATATTGAGATCGAGAGGAAGATATATGACACAGAACTGGATAAATCAGTTTCTTTAAAAAAATCTAATTCAATGGCTTATATCTAAATAATTATAAAATCTAATTAAATTATTATTTACTATTTTAATTTAATTAAAGGGTTAATCTTGTTCATTTCCCTCAAACAAGAAAAGAAAGAGGTAAAAAGTCAAAATTACGTCCTTTCCCACATTGATTTAAATAGACAAAATATGTAAATTAATAAAATGACAAAACTTTGGGATACCATTTCAAAAAATTGAAACCTCATAATAGTCCATTTGAAAACCATTTCAAACTTTAAGTGTGTAAATGTAGTTAGCCCAAA